ACTTTCTAGCTTTCAAGAGTATGGGCCAGAGTGGCATGTGATGCTACAAGTGAGGCTGGCCTTTGTATTGGTCTGTGCACAAAGGTAATTACAAATAAGGAATATTTTCCTGCTTCTAAAATAAATACGTTTTAATGTTTTAATTGCTTATACACAAGCAGTCCTTTAATGGGGCTCAGCATGCTAGTTCTTTCTCTGTTATGTTTCAAAGGGGGTTGTGTCAGTGTGGACAGGCCAACAGACTACAACCAATTCTCTTTGCAGTGTTACTGAGGTTTGAAGACTCTCCAAAATAAATTATACTAATAGATTTCTCTGAAGATATTGAAATCTTCAAAGAAAATTCACAGGCTGGAAGGATTTTACCAACATTACAGCTAGACAATGAATCTGTTGTGTTTTCTATCACTTGATAATGAGAGCTTGGACTCCCTCCTTGTGTCCTGGGAGGGATCTCTGTCTAAAAATTCCTAGTTTCAAGAGGGCAGATTGCATCTGTACTACTGTTTCTTAGTGGAGTTCTGGGGGAGGTAAGAATTTTACTTTGCTGGTAGGTGGGTCAGTGAGAGGATGCTTCACTATTGTAATGAGTAGTCCTGCTGCTTGCTTTTCCTGGAGATGGGAATGGTTTTCTGTCACTTGCTGGTTTCTACTGCTTTGCAGGTGGATCGTATGGCACAGCAGATGGAGGCCAGTGAACGTTCCATGCACGACAGGATCCAAAGGCTGGAGGCCATCAGGATATCTCTGGACGAGGTGAGAAAAAGTGCTCTAGGCATGTTTGAACACTGCTATAGCAGTGCACAGAGAAGGCTGCCAGGAAAGCTTTGTTGAGTCGCTGAGTGCAGACCTTTGTAAAGATTGTCATGTGCTGTAAGGAGGAACAGAAAACAGCAGTATACCAGCTAAAATTAGTTTTACTGCTTTGGATTAAGGAAAAAGGTTCCAAGGAGAAACTTGTAAATTCAGATTGGACAAAAATAAGGATTCCATTTAACATGGTTAGAGTCTTACTAAGATTTGACTTTACAGGATTCTCATGTTGTCACAAGTAGTGTAGCATGTTTATCCATATCTATTTCCCCAGCTACATCCAGCAGTGCTCTTTCCTATTCCCTTGTTTTGGAAAGGTTTAACCAATACTTGCCCTCATATAACTGAAATTTGCATTGAACTTAGATAGCAGTCTTGAACTGAGGAAAGGTTTGTCATCTTTGTTTGCTTTTGCTGCCCCTGAGTGAGAAAGAGAGCTGTGTCATTTTATGGCCTGTTACTGGGAGCTGCTGGTGTTTTCTGGTCAGTGTGGCAGCAATGCAGCTTTTCTGTCTGGAATGATTTTCCATGTTTTTGTGGCAGGAGCTGAGCCAAGTCAAAGCAGCTGCAATAACTGAGCGAGGACGGGCAGAGGAGGAGTTAATAAAAGTCCGGAGTCAGGCACGCTTGGAGGAGGTAAGGACAAGACTTGTCTGTGGGCCTGTCCCCGTGGGAAGAAAGTGGTTTGGCTACCTAGTCTATGTTTTAGTCTTGGGGAGCTGCTAGCTCACTCCTCTCTGGGTTTCACTGACCCATAAATGGTGTGATTGTTTAATTTAAGTTGCCAACATCTGAAGCCAATGGCCAGATGTTGATCCTTCTTTTTAATAACAACTTTCATGGGGTACTCCTGTTTCTCTGAACACTGAGAAATTTCTTCAGGTCGCTACTGCTGCTAGATAAATAGTCACTGTAGTATTGAACTCTGTGAAAATGGCAATGAAATTAATATCCTGTGAAATAAAACAGAGGATGCGGAAAATACACAAAAACTATTAGAATATTTACTTATTTGTAGCATCACAAAAGAAGATGCTTCATTGAATTACAGACATAGAATTACTGAGTTACTGACATGTGGAATCCAGCAGTTTCTTAGTTGCCTGCAGTGGTGCTGCAGAGCCATTTGAGGTGTGGAGGAAGTGAAGGTAGAGCACTGGTTGTAAACACTGGCGGTGGCATTGGTGCATCTGCCAAGGACCTGTCTCTGTTTCTCATTTGAGTGTTTTGGTCTCTGTCAGTGTCCTCCCTGGAAAGAGGAAGCAGCTTGGAGTCACTCCTGAGTGCAAGGAGCAGGACTGTGTCCTGTACTTGTCAGTGCCAGTTGACTCAATAAAGGGTTCACTGTGTTAGGAACAGAGATGGGAGAATCTCTTCACAGGAATGAAGTGGGGCTGTTTAATTTTCATTTTCCTTCGTGTCTTACAGCAGCAACGACTAGAACACCTAGAAGAAAAGCTGCGGCTGATGTCTGAGTCAAGGGATGATGCTCAGAACTGCTGCCTTAAGCAAAAAGAAATGCTTGCTGAGACCCAGGCCAAAGCCAAACAGTTGAGCCTGTATGCTGATGGGCTCAGGAGGAGGCTGGATGAACTTCAGCAGGTAGTTTGGACTGGAGTAGAGATAGTCACAACAGGGCCAGAACAAGTTGCTGAAGTTGTTCGGTTGTTCATGGATTTGTCTTTGTGTGTCAGGACCTGGACAGGAAGGAAGAGGAGAAAGTGACAGAGCTAAATAAGGTGAAAGTGGAATTACAGGAGCAGATTGGGCACCTGGAGGCTGAACGCACAGCCCAGGATGGGCTGAGAGAGAAGATTGCAGCTCTGGAAAGACAGCTGAAAGGTGATGGATCCTTTCATGCTTCTCAAATGGTTACTCTGAGTTACCTTACATTAGGCCTGAACTGAGCTGTGCTCATAGGTAGCGACTCACAGTAAGCAAGTGCTTCCTGCCTGTGAGTACACCTGTGAGTTGTACTCTCCATCCACATGTATATACAGGGATTCCTGTCCTCATTTTATAGAGACCAAGACTCAGATGACCACTCAAACCTGCATAGCAGGCAGAATGTTTGGATTTCTTGCACAGTGAAGTGTGCATGCTGTCTGTGTAAAACCTCTCATGTCTCATGCAGCTCCTCTTGTGTGCTTGCAGACTGTAGCACTTCCATTGCCTTTTGCCTGCTCTTATTTATTCCAGGGATATCTTGACTTTCTTTACTAATGCTGCTTTTTCACAGCCCTGTGCAGTAATCACCGTGAAGCACTGCTGGACAAGGAGGGTGAGATCTCTCTGCTGCTGGAGAAGCTGAGAATGAAGGAGGCTGTGATCTCCAGGATGAGGGAAGAGGAGGCCCAGCGAGCAAGTTTCTTGCAGAATGCCATCATGGCATATGTGCAGGGATCTCCCTTGGGAACCCACAGTTCTAGGAAGTGAGAGTGTGGCTTAAAGGATCCAAATACCTGCTGTCAGGGAAAGGGTGAGCAACTTAGGTACAACTCCTTCTTCCTAAATGGACAGTTTTATCAGAGTGGGGTGACACAAAGGCTCACAAATAGACAAATGCTCCTGCTGTTCAGAAATCTTCCTCCTGACAGCGTAAAGGAGAGGAGAAAACAACCACCCAGGCCTGTGGGTCTGAGTCCATGATGTTGAGCCCCCTCCCGTGCACTGCCACAGCCTATTGGTATAGGGGGTTACTGGGGGTGGTTGTATGTTCCCTGGCAAGGTCCTGCTGCAGTATTTGTTTGGATGCCAGGGCTGTTCACAGAGAAACGTGAGGAAAAGCGACAAGTGTTCACAGTTCCCTGTGGGCTGGAGCAATTAATCTTGCTAATGGGATCCTGGAACTGCTGGAAACACCAGATATTACCCACTTGTACTTATTCACCCAGTGTTTGCAGACAGAAGCAGAATCTGATGGGGCCCTCTCTGGCTTGTTTACCCTCCCTCTGTGGCTTTGGCCATATTGGTGGGCCATAGAAACATATTTGGCATAGACAGAAACAGCTGCACTGTCCCTCATGGGACAGCTGGGCCTTCATAGTGGTTCCACTTCTGCAACAGTGAGTGACAGGGAAAGGGTGGGTGGGTGATTGGTTGCCAAAATCTGTGCTTCTTCACTGTGAACTGCGGCCCTTAGCTGAAGATGTTGTGGCCAGTATAGCTACAGGATTTAGTTTCACTATGGCAAATGGCAAAACTGTTCTCCTGGCTTTTAAGAATCCTAGAAGTGAGTGCTGTGGCCCTAACCTGGAGAGGAGCAGTGTTTCTGGTGTGACACTGGGGAGGTGCTTCTCAGAGCACAAAGGGGAGAAGGTGGTTCCTCTCCTGGCAATGCAAGTCCTTGCATGACCTGGAGAAAGGGAAGGTTTACTAGAGTCTGAATTGGAGAAAGCAGGAGCTGTTGTCAGTCCAGCAGTATTGATCCTTGAGGGAGTTTTTCCTTTAAGTCTGAGGTGGGAATATTAGGATTCTTGGAGTACATATTTTAAAAGACGCCTGGAAAATGAAAGTTTCTGTGTGAACTGGTTGCTTTGTGTTTTTTTTTATACTGGGTTTTGCTCTGTTTAATAAAGAACTTTTGCATTTTGGCATTGGCACTGGACAGTGGCAAACTGGATGTTTGGCTGGTGTGGAGGATGGGGCCTTCTGCTGTGGTACTCTCCTGAAGATCCTGTCAGCCTGTCCTGCACCTAAAAGGCTGTTATAGGTGGATGAGATGGGGATGGTTTTGGTTCTGGACTAAGATAAAAGCAAAGAAGTTGGGAAGCTGTTCCCTAGTCATAATGAAGAGAACCTGTGGCAAAAGCTGCTTAGTTTGTGGCTGCTTGGCAGCGCTGCAGACCCGCAGGCAAGGGAAAAGCAAAGCCTGTTTTTTTCAGACAGAGCCGCTACTGTGGGCACCTCTTTTGCCGGCAGGGTACCTTAGGGAGGTGGAGGAAACCAAAAGCCGTCTTCCTGAAGGATTTTTCCTGCTCCATCTTTGTTCCTCAGCAGCTCTGGGCAGATGACGGTGAACTATGCAGCTACAACGTAACCAGGTTTTAAAGCTTTGTCCTTGAGCCGGTGCGCCCCGGTGCGGTAACCGGCCCCGAGCAGCACCCGCCTCTTCTACCGTGGGGCGGGGCCGCCGCCTCTCCGTGCCAGCGCCCGCGGCGGAGCCGCGCCTGTTCCCGGCGGAGCGGCGGGGCGGAGCCGGCGGGACACGGGCCCTGCCCCCGGTGCTCGGCGCGGCCCCGCCCCACCCCGCGGGCGGTCACTGCGGCGGAGTCGCGGCGCCGCCATCGCGGGCAGATGCAGGCGATCAAGTGTGTGGTGGTGGGCGACGGGTGAGTGCGGGAGGGGCCGCGTCCCCGTCCCCGCAGCCCCGCACCGAACGGGCCCGGCAGCGCCGCGGGAAGGAGGGAGGGCTGGCCCGGGCCTGCGTCCCGGGAGAGCTGCTCCGCCGGCGGGAGGCCCCGCGCCGGGCGGCGAGGCTCGCTCTGGCCTGGATGGACGAGGGCCCGGCTCGGGTGGGGCCGGGCCGGCGGCGGCGGGAGCGGGGCTGGCGGCCGAGCCGCCGCTGAGTCCCCGCGGGAGACTGGGGCCTTGCCGCGGCCCGCGCAACCCAGCCCGCTCCTTTCATAGTTCATGAGCTTGGCTGCTGCTTGGGTAGCAAACACCCGCTTCTCCTGGGTTTTACGTTTGCCTCCTAGTAGGTGCCGGTATTTTGCTATTTTTCATTGTACCTGCTTGATTCCTGACAGAGTGCACCCGAAAATCTTAATGTTCGCAGGTCTCGTATGTCCTTTTGTTGATTGTTCTGAGGTGAAATGCTTTGCTCTTTCTGATTTCACCATCTGCTCCTTGTCACCCTTTGTGCGTTTTTCTTAAGGCTCTTCCTAAATGCCTTTTTTGGGGAACACATCTCCCTGCAAGATGCAGGTGTGCACTAGATTTATGCTGCTTTGTAACTTTCCTAGCTCATCCTGCATATTTTCCCTCACAATTCCAGTTTACTTTTCTGATCACCTTAGCAGGAACATAGCTGAGGTACTCAGACCTAAATGTGAACAGGTCTTAGGGAGGGACTAGACTTCCCCTTTCTCATGCATGCCACCCCCTCAAATACACATTTGAGGTGAGACCTTCTAGGTTCCAGCCTGTGAGGGTTAAAGAAGGGAGTAGGAGAAAGCACAGCCTTATTGCAGAGAGGAGCGGTGTGACTGGGAGCTCAGGATGTTGGAAACCGGAGTTCAGCTGAAGGTTTGCTGTTGTGAGTTTTGCATTAAGACTAAATCAACTGTGCGGACTAAAAGAAACACATGATACACAGATTTTTGTGAATTACAAGTGTCTCTTGTGATGGAAAGAGAAGTCACACTTAAGGAGGACAGTTGGACCAGTCAGCGTAGTGGTTCTTAACAAAACTTCTCTCTTCTCAGACTGAGGGGACCTAATCCAAAGGAAAAGTTGTAATAGTGGTTTGTTCTCTCTGTGCTTTTTGTCATCCTGGTGTGTGCAGGGGACTGTCAGCTCTCTTCCTCTCTTCTGACATCCTCTCTTATGTCAGGCTGGCTGCAGAATTGGGTAGGGTATACCCATTTCTGCTAGCTATTCAGCTTCACCCAGGCACCTCAAAGCCACCTTTCCTTGGCACTGTCACTCACAGTCTTTTTCTGGAAGGTTATCTGCAGTTTACAACTTTTCTTGGTGATAAAGAGGTTGCTCACACTGCTGGTACTCCTCTGTTTTTATGGTGAAGCTCTCAGTTAGGAAGTCTGCAGGGCTGGTTAAAGTCCCTGTGCTCATGCTATTGCTGGCCAGGCCTGGCCTGGCCGTTGCCAGCTGCCACTGCTGGGCTGACCAATCCCACTAACCTTCAGCAAAGCCCTGAGCTGGTGTTTTTATCCTTTTTCACTAATGTTTTCCAAACTGACAGCAGTCAATATTAAAGTCCATTTTTGTTTACGGATAATTACTTTTTCTCCTTTGTGTTTATTGATACTGAATTCCTGTATCTGAGGAGCTTGCAGAATTCTGCATTGTTGCATGTTTTTTAACCTCACTGTTTATCCATTTTGCTAAATTACTATGCATCTGTTGAGCCCAGCACACAACCCTGATTTATTTCCTCTCTTGGTTGTATTTTGACTGATTTCTTGCTGAGGGCTGAATGGGTAGGGAAAAGGAGTGACAGAGAGCAATGTTAGGAAGTGCTCAGGCAAGGTGCGCCTTTTGACTTCAGGCCATGTCTGTGACAACTAGGGAATTCCAGCCTGGAACAGATTTGTTTTCTCACATGGTAGCTTTTTACCAAACTGTGTGTTTTTGGTGGCGGAAGGGTGAGTTTTACTGCCTTAGTGCTCCATGCTGTACCCTTCTTTATGCTTGTCACTCCCTCTGCAGGGCTGTAGGGAAGACCTGCTTGCTGATCAGTTACACCACAAATGCCTTTCCTGGAGAATACATTCCCACCGTGTAAGTAATGTCCCTGGGCTTCAGTTGCTTTTTGATCTGTATGCTTGTGTGTGTAAAAGTTTGCTTTGTATATGAAGAAGTGGCTGTTGCAAATCAGACTGTGGACTTGACAGGTAAGGATGATGCTTTGGCTGTGTGCATGAGGAAGGCAGATTGTTCCCACTGGAACTGTGCTGCAGTATCCTTTCCTGATTCACTGTCCCTTTGAATTCCATATAAAGATGTGAAGGTGACCACAAAATTGTCACTGATGGGGACTCCTCATTTGCAGGTTTGATAATTATTCTGCCAATGTAATGGTAGATGGAAAGCCAGTGAACCTGGGCCTCTGGGATACAGCAGGGCAAGAAGACTATGACCGACTGCGGCCTCTTTCTTATCCACAGACGGTGAGTGCTGGGCTTGGGCTGGCTTGTGACTACTCTCTCTCAGAGACAGGGAGGCTCCCAAGGACAGACATGCTTCTTTCCATTGAGGAAAGTCTGAGTTCCTGCAGCTACACCCATAATTCTGGTTGCTTAAGAAGTATCACAGCTGATTTTCTCCTAAGAGATTGTCCTGTTCTAGTCTCTTTATAATGGTCTTTGAAGAGTTATGGGTGCCCCGGGGAGGCTCAAGTAAAAGGAATGCTGTAGGGCTGTTGTGCAGCCTAGCTGGTTCCATGTTCCCATTCTCTCTCAGCAGGACAGATCCCCGTTGGGCTGCCTAGGAGTGTTTCTGGGTGTAGCAGTTCCTAAGCAGCTGTGCTGCTGGTGAAGCCCTTAGTGCTGTTAAGATGTTTGAGGCCTCAGGCTCTTGACATGCAGAGCCCAGCATTGTGAAAGGAGATGTAATCATACACTCAAGGTCCATTCCTTCTCTTTCTGAATTAGTTTAACATCTTTAGTGGGCAAGAATTTCTTAAGGCTACAGCAGTCCTTGCTTGTGGGAGGAGGTTGTCCTTTCTCAGACTCCCTCTAAAGCTTCCCTTCACTCTAGCGGTTTCTTTCTGCACAGCTGACCCTCTTGTTTCTGCACAGGATGTTTTCTTGATCTGCTTCTCCCTTGTGAGTCCAGCCTCCTTTGAGAATGTCCGAGCTAAGGTAAAGTATTCTCTTCCTGGGTGAAATGGTAGAAGGGAAGAACCAGTGACACTCCCTGCCCCACCCAGCACCACACCTACAAGCCCAAAATTTCAAGCAGTAATGTTCTGGTGAGAGAAAATTATAGTCTGCAGTTTTTAAGTGGGACCTGCTTTTTATTAATGACTTCTTTGGCTAAGTTATTGCCTTTCTGAATCTGTGTTTTAAGATCAGGGATGTCTTAGAAGCTAAAATGCAGTTAAGGAAAGCACTGTGTGCAGAGTTGGTTGGCAATGTCTGTCAGGATTCTGTGTCTTGGTGTCTTCATGATTACCTCTGTACCAGTCTCTTTTTGCAGAGCATATTAGAACTGTAGGCAGCAGTATCCTATTCAGGTGTTGCCACTATGTCAGTAGTGAACATCTTCATTCACAATAGTAGGAATGCATCCTGACGGATATGGCCACTCATATAACTACTTTTCTTACCATGCCTCTCTGTTTCAGTGGTACCCTGAGGTTCGACACCATTGTCCAAATACACCTATTATCCTGGTGGGCACCAAGCTGGACTTGAGGGATGATAAGGACACCATTGAAAGGTTACGTGATAAGAAACTGGCCCCCATCACCTACCCCCAAGGCTTGGCCATGGCTCGGGAGATTGGTGAGTCCCATGAGCAGGCAGATGTTGGTGGCACTGAACTTTGTGAGTGGGTGAGCAACAGTTGTATGGTGGTAGAACTGAAGTGGTTGAGCTGGAGCTCTCTTTCCTCAGGGTCGGTAAAGTACCTCGAATGCTCTGCCCTGACACAGCGGGGCTTGAAGACGGTGTTTGATGAAGCCATCCGGGCTGTGCTCTGCCCGCCGCCTGTGAAGAAGCCTGGCAAAAAGTGTACCATGTTTTGAGGGCTGAAGCCTTGGTGTAGGCTCAGCATGCTGTCATCCTCTGACAGATTGCATATTAAGCTGGGTGTTTCTGAAGGGGGCTGGGATGTGTAGGGCCCTTCATCATGTTCGAAGTCAGTGTTTTTTAAATGTCTCTTTGATTTAACGTCAGTGTTGATGTGAAGGGGCAGTGGGGACAGCAGACCAGCTGGGGACTATACAGCCCCCAGGGGAGGTACAGCGGGGAAGGCAAGGTAGCTCCTTCAGGCAACAAGCTGTTTTGGCTCTCCCGAACTCCAAGTGGAAAGGAGTTCCTGTTCTGGAAACACTTGTTTGCAACCTGCAGGTGAAACAGGTGGTGAACATCCTGGTGGGAGTGGGGAGGGAGCTGATTTCAATGGTGCTGAAAGACAAGAATAGCTGGGAGGATGGTAGGGTCTCCTTGCCCAGCCTGCTGTGGCTAACAGTTAACAAACTGGTGCTCTAGCAGAATGTTCTGAGACTGTTAAAGAAATCATAACCAGCCCTGGAAGGGGTCAAATGAGAAGCTGAAAAACTAATAATTAGGTGCTTTACTGGGTACTAGCCAAACTCTGTGAGTGAAACAGCTCCATGCAATCAATGCATTTGCCTTTTTGTGTGTGCACACCCTAGGACAGCATGGTGCTGCTCCCCCCCATTAGTCTTTGGCAGGGCCTCCCCCCAAAATCCAGTCTCTGCAGAGCAGGGCTGGGGTTGTTGCCTCAATTTTTTTTTTTCTACTAAAGACAACACAGGAAGCAATGAGGTGTCTGCTAACTTCTTTCCCTTCCCACTGAAAATGCAGACAGACTCAGTGGATTTGGATGGAACAGGGAGAGCTTCTGAAGGGTTGTGGTGGGGGAACAGGGTTGGAAGGGAGGTCCAATTTCTAATCATCATGTAGAGTGACAAGATAAAACCTTATTTGGTGCAATAAACATTCTCCATGAAGGTGTATGTGAGCTTTATTATATAGCAGCCTTGCAGAGCTGATTTCCTGCCTCACTTCTAATACAATCTTCAGCCCTGCTGCCCCTCTGGCAAGAAGCAAGTCATTGTTTTCTATCCAGTTTACATCTAGGCAGTATTCATATGAAAATTGAGGCCAGGTGTGAAATGCAGGTGTCATCTTAGGAGACAAGAAAGCCCCCATCAATCATCAGTGAGCTGCCAGTTGTCATAGCACTCTTGTCACTCAGCAGGAAGAGAATGCTGTTCACCACATCATCCACCTCTGCAATCAAACATGAAAACATCTGATGCCCACCTCAAAGTATACCAGAAAAACAAGCACTTAAAAGGTCTGCCTTTGACCTCTGCAGGTAATTAGAGCTGGAAAGTGTTTCTGCCTTCAAACTGTGCTTGATGAAGTGTCTGGGACAGTGTGGCTGAGAGCTGGACATCAAAGTGTCCTTGTGATCAAATGGTGCTTGGGTCACAGCAAACACTCTGTCAGGTTTATGAACAATAGAGTAAGTTCATTTCACTTGTCCCAAGACGAGGAGGGTGTAGAAAAAGTGAGAGGAGGGTTGATTCTCACCCTGTCCTGAAGGAATACTGCAGGAATTCAGCCTGTGATGTCAGTGAGAAGGCTTGGAGAAAGCATGAGAGCACAGCCTGGGGACAGACATACATCACTGACCTGCAAACTTTCCCAGCGGAATCCGGTTAATCATGGCAGCAGATTTCTGAGGGTCACTCCAGTTAATTCTCCCCATGTCAGTCATAACCACAGTGGGGTTCACAGTGTTCACCCTAATCTGGGACCAGGAACAACAAATAATCTAATCCAACTGCTGTGGTTGTGCTCAGGTTCAGCTTTCACACTTTTCTCTCACAGACTCCTACCTTGTGGGGTCCCAGTTCCATTGCCATTACTTTGCTCAGCATATCCAGAGCACTTTTTGTGGAACCTTTAAGAGAAAGGAAGAAAAGGAGATATTTAACTGCATAGCACCTGGTCTGGAGGTGCTATGGAACACAGGGGTATTTTGCAGCCCAAAACTGGCAGCTTGGTGACTGGGTCTCCAGCTGGTCAAAACTGAGAGGGGCACTGCTAAAGCTGCACACACTTACAATAGACAGCATGATCCTTCAGCGCACGCTTTGATGCCTGGCTGGAGACATTCACAATAGCTCCTGGCACCCCCTGTGCAATCATCTGCCGAGCAACTATCTGGGAGAGGGAGGAGAGAGAAAAAAAAAAGGAATGCCAGAATCCTAACAAGAGAAATCATTATTTCACTCCATAGGAATTTTGCTGGGCTATTATGGTAGACCAAAGAACAAAAACATCTGGAGGAAGCAAGTCCTCACTGCCTCCTGCTTACAAGAGAGTTACAGCAAGAGTGTGAAGGGACTGTACACATAGTTTGTCGGATTGACTTAGGACTGCAGTCCTTTCAGCCCCTACAGTGGATACATCTGCTTATATACAGCAATTTAGTCACTGCTATTCATGGAGGCAGCTGCAGTGACAGTTCTTCCTCACCTGGGAAACATGAAGCACAGCCCCAAAATTCACATCAAGAGACCTACAAATAAATCAAATTCAAGTTACAGAGTGGTTGTAGCCCAGCCCAGGGAGCTGTTTTGGGAGGCAGCAGAGGACAAGTGCTGCTGGTGTCTTGGAAGCACTGGTGATACTCTAGGACATGGACAGAAATGCCAAGTTGTCAGGAGAACCAGAATGGTCAGGTGGGATCTCAGCAATGAACCAGAACCATCCATTGGCTGCAAGTCTGTCAGTGTGTGAAGAGGTGCAAGCATGCATCAGGTACATTTTGCACAGGACTCTGCTCTTCTGCAGCCTAATGGAATTCCTCTGTCAAAGTTTAAACAGAGCCCTGGGCTTCAGCCAGGACAGATGACCCTTAGGTCAAGCAAACCCTTCACACAGATTTACAAAGCAAAGCTGCTGTAAGGTGGTTAGAGGCAGCATTTCTTCTGTTTGCCACATTGTGCTTCCTTAGGCTTCCACCTGCCAGTTCTGCAGAATGATCTTAGTAGAATCCATACATTTTATGTTCTAGTCACAAACCTTTATTATAGATTCTCAACAGCCATTTTTAACACAGGGACACAGTGTGACCCATTTTCTCAGAAGGATGTGGTCAAGATAGCCTGTATCCTAAAGTGTACTCAACAAAACTGGACCTTTTCAGAGAACAAAGAAGTCATGTTATTGTAGTTAGCAAATTTAATTTCCCACCATGACCGATTTTGCTTCCTTACCTGGCTTTGTTGTCTCTATTTCTGAATTGTCTTAGCAACAACTGCCTTTCATTTTAACGGAGCTTGAACTAGACTTGGAAGCTCTGAGCTTGATGAGCAGCAAAGGCACTCTCCTCCCATGCCAGTGGGATGACTGGTGCACCCCGCCGTTCTGGAGGTGACACTGCAGGTTCTGGCTACTTAGAAATGGGTGTAAAGCCAGTGCTTTGTTTCCTTTTGCTGTTTAAGGGGTGAAAGGTGATGATGTAAAGTATGAAAAGACAGTAAAGAAAAAGGACATATGCAGTAACAATCGACCACTGGGCATTGCCAAAAGCGTGCATGTCAGCCTGTTCAGTGTCAATACACCAGTTGCTGACTTTGTTCTTTTCAACTGCTGTCCCTCTAATAACACCCTTTTCTGGAAAGCTCTGCCACCGTTTTTGACGTTCAGAGCTTTGTAACGCCCTGGCGAGCATCGGCCCCAGAGCTCCCCGCGGAGCTGCGGTCCGGTGCGGGAGCCTCTGGCGGGCCGGGGCCGGGCACTCACCGCTGCAGGGCCGAGCGCGTCACCTCCAGGAACGGCTGCAGCTCCGCCACCGCCGCGTTGTTAACCAGCAGCTGGAACGGCCCCGCCGCGCCCACCGCCGCCTCCACAGTCTCCCAGTCCGCCAGGTCCACGCAGAGGGTCTCGATGCCCGGGCACTGCGGCGAGGGCGGCGGCGGTGGGCCGGGGGGAGCCCGGGGCCCCGCTGCGGGGTTATTGGGGCGGGAAGGGGGGCAGAGGAGGGTCCGGTACCTCCCGCGCGAGGCTCTCCAAGTCCGCCGCCGTTCGGCTCAGCGCGGTCACGCGAGCCCCGGCCCTGCTCAGCGCCACGGCCACGGCACGACCGATCCCTGCGAGGAGACGGCGTCAGGCTCGGCCCGGCCTGGCCCCCGCCCCCGGGCTTCTGCCGACGGTCACCTTTGCCGGCCCCAGTCACCAGGGCCCGCCGGCCGCCGAAGCTGAGATGCGCCTCCATGTCTCGGCTGGACTGTGGCCGAGGCGGGCCCGGGGCGGGTCCGGCAGCGGGGCGGTTCCATAGGGTGAGTGAGCAGGGCAGTGTGTCCCCACTGCCGCCGGGAGAGCGCAGCACCAAGCTGTCTCCAGGCTCATCCGGTAAGACAGGCAGAGGTGAAATTTCGTGGCTCTCACTCGTGATTGACGTATCATTTCAGCGATCACAGAAAACAGGCTTTTTAGAGTGATGAAAAAGACCTGCCAGCTCTGCCCCCTCGAAGTTGCTGCTGAAGATGACAAAATCTTCATTATCTCAATTCCTTGACTGTACTCTGTTAAGAAGCAGCTGCAAGGATTCTTCTCATCCGTCTCTGTTCTCCACATCTGTCATTAAGCTTACTTGCTTTTTGTCCCTTGGCATCACATGAGTCTGACAGGAGGGCATAATTTTCTGGATTAGTGGGTTTATGGTCCATTTTTGATACAGAGCACATGTGAAGAAATATGACAAAACACAGCCTTTGACATATTTAAATATTTATTTCATAAAGTTACTTTATGTATGAAAAAGTAGTTTGATAAAAAGGCTGCATCCTGATTGATCCACACGGCTTACTGCAGTCTCAACACAAGAAAACTTGGAACAAACCTAAGCATACTGAGGTTCCCCTGTTGCCCTGCAGGAGAACATGGCCCTTTTGAAGTTCCATAAATATGCTTCCAGCTTTGAGGACACTTGCCTCTTTGGCATACCTAGTGTGACCAGTGACCACAGTGTGAAACTTACACCATTTAGTTTTGCTGTCATCAATATAAAGTGTTGTCGTTTTTTTTAACTGCAGTTTGCCACCATTGCTGCCCAGTCCTAGCTTTGTCTCTGTCATCTTTCAAAAGGCTGCTTCCAGTAGAAGGGGAAGATTTCCAACAGAAGAGTTCAGAAGCAGTGCTTGAAGTCAAAATCACCTCAAGAGCTCATGAAGTTTCACAGTTTTCTTTACAGGACTTTAAGAACCAAGAACCTAACAAGTGCTTTAAAAAAAAACATGGATACAAGGACTCTCCAGAACGATTAATGACAAATAATTAAACCAGAGGATACCTCAATTCTAGTTAGCAGAAGATCTAATAAAGAGGTAGAACCTACTATGCCACAAATCCTCCTCTGTTTTCTATGGGAGGCACACCTGTAACACTGACAGCCCATTATGGAACAGCCAGTGTGCTAGCTGGGCTTTGATCCATCTCCCTGCAGCTTTCTTATTTCCATACCTCATGTGTACCTTAGTACACACAATAGAAAGGAGAAATACAAGAATGAGCTGCAGGACTATAGTAAGTAGCAGTCAGCTTGTTTACTCCTCAGTAGAGCTACCTAAAATCATGCAAAGAGGACAATGTACTGAGGTAAACACTGAAAGGTCTGTTAAAATGCAGGGAACACGGTATATTTGAGGAGGCTGACCCCTGTGCTAAGTGGCATACTTAAATACACTACAGGCATTTGCCAGGAAGTTAAATAACTAGGCGAACCTCACAGTACAGCTGAGTGCAGCCATTTAGAAACCTGAAACTTCTGCTAGGTCCACAATCAAGTCAATAATCACAGCTCCAGATCATACAATGGCATTCTATTATTCTTCCCTTAATTTGGCCTCAAACTCTAGCACTAAACCAGCAAGTATTTTTTATAAGAGTAAACAGTGATTTTGCAAAGGTATATTTTTTTAAGGTATTCTTCAGATCAGGTAGGGTTTGCACATGGCCAAAATCTGGGCTAACAAAAAAGTGAACATATGCAGCCCTACTCCTTCCACTTTAAAAACCAAGTTTACTTTCTTTAAAAAGCAGCAGCAGATGATATTGCTAGAGCACTGTACTTCTGCTTGTGAGTGTGCAATCTCCTTGTAGTGACTGGGTGAGCTACTTGTTGAAATATTAAGGAGTAAAAACAAACACCGATCTTGACTTTGTGGTAATTAAAAGATTATCTGAAGAAGCTGGAGTAACCATGTTAATACAATTAAAGGTCCTCAAATGATACCATCAAAACTCTTCTCAGTGCATTGCACCTATCTAGCATTTCTCCCTTCTCACACTGCTTCAGAAACAGGGCGTGTTTTGCCAGCACAAGCTTCTCCAGCTCATGTGACCAACTACCAGCCAAGTGGGAGGAACAATTACCATCTTGTCAGGCAAATATTTTTTCAGTATCAAATATCAAGGGAATAGATCATAATCATCAACCATTGCAATTCAGTTGGCATGCGAGCCAGGTCCGACAATTACCTCCACAGGAGGTACACATGGATAACAGGGGAGAATGTACATTGTAAGCAACTCGCCTAGTCTTGAGTAAGCTTACCCTCACACAGGGTTTTCTCATGACAAAGGCTTTCAGCCTTGTTTACCCTAGTGATTCCACGATTTCTGTATTCTATCCCACTGCAGTTTTAATCTGTCAGGCCACAGAAGCACTTAAATAATTCTGTTCCCAAGAAAGATGAGTGAAAACTTCCCCTTTCTTGTCACCATGGGGACTACAGTCTGCTCTTGCACTCCAGCTTCTATACAGTGGCTTCTAATAACCCCTAAGGGTAGTAAAAACACTCTCACTCCCCATACTGCATTTGCCTCAGATGTGCCCAAGCACAGGTTCACATGCCATCAGATGAAAGTATAAAGTGACTCATACACACAGGACTGTGGTCATCTTAGGAAGAGCCACTAGACAAAAGAACAAAGATGCTTCTTGGAATGTCCCAGGCTGCAGCTGAACAAACCACACCTTATTGCTTTTCTAAACACAGTCTGCTACCTCCTTTGTAGATACCACTGGTTGTCTCCCAGAAGAAGAATAAAACCACCAAAAAACTCTGCAACTCCTGCCTTATGCAAACTAGCTGAGACACAGGTGTCAGTGGCTGGTCAAGAATTATGACATCTTCTTAGCAGGGCACCAAATGGTGTCAGGATAAAGCAGACAATGGACAGATTTAAATCTGTATTAAAAAAGAAAGAAAAAGAGACAGCATTAGATTGGAATCCTCCATACATTGAACATACTAGCACTGAATGTGCAGCACTCTGATGGAGCAGGGCGTGGGTCTACCTGCTTTTGGCAATGAGCTGACATAAGAAAATAACCCCATTAGTGGGTCTGATCACCTTACAGATGACAAACATGAACATGGTAGGGAGATCTTGTTTTGGAAGTGGACACTAACCGGGTTGGATCTTGCTGAAGGCCAAACACTCCTCCCACACTCACAACATTGTGTTTGTTCTCAGGGTCACCGTAACTCAGGGTTACCTGGAAAAACAAGTAAATATTCAAGACTTGTAACACTAATGCAGATAACTAGAGTGGACATAGCAAGGTACCAAGAAAGTCTCCAAAGATGCTGTCTGATCTGAACACGGATCACATTTGGAGGACAGTGGTTAGCTGTGACGTAAGCAACGTTGGCGCTGAATGGCACTAAGGGCAACATGGGAGAATACACGGAAGATCTGAAAGTTGCATTGCCCTGAAGGACAAGATGAGTTTCAATTGTAAACTTTGTAAGGACATTAATTCTGCTACTGTTTGTACCTTCACTAAATAACATCTTCATCCTTACCAGATATCGCCATAAGTTTGCAATAGCAATATTTTAGCACAGGGGAAAAATATAAATATTTGCCTATTAAGTAGCATGGAAAGGATTGTCATGTTTCAAATCTGAAACAAAATTTAGATCTTTGGAACCCCAGGTTCCTCCACACAAGCGTTGCATGAAGAATTTTTCAGGTGTCAGGTACAAGAAGACTTACCTTTTCTTTATAATTGTACATTTCCTGGGTTTTGGGTTAGCTGTCTTCATCATGGAACCAATGATGACCAGTGAAACAATGTATTCATGCTACAGTCAAATTCACTAACATGAAGGGAGATGACATCACGGTGGAATTTGGCCCCAAGCGCACATTTCTGCTGCCTAATACAATTGCCAGAAAAATATAACCACCCAGCATGCAGGGGCAAAACCACACTCGTGTTTACTTATGGTGCCAAGCAATGTGATGCAGGCAACACTGTTGGGTGGCCTTGTGGCTCCACCTGCTGCCAGGGAGGTAAAATGTATCCCAGCAATTAAAAAGCAACTTCATTTTTCAGAAGCAACTTTTAATTTTCTTGAGATTCATACAAATTGTTCTTTAAAGTGATCAAACATTTAATTATGTCAAGTACTTATAAGGCTGCCTTTCTGAACAGCATGAATTAAGATAGAAACTTTGTTAGACAAAACCAGGAACACTGTTTAGCAAATTTCTACACTTTCTGCTACTGCTACATGCAAACAAATCCGTGTTTAGGAGGAGATGGGGTACACCCTACCTAGGCTTCATGTAGCATAATGTGTCCCCAAAGGAGGGTTCAGCTATATGACCTAGTTGGCTAGGGTGAAACTGTGCTTTTCACCTAAATGAAGGAATTGAGCAGGATACAGCTCTAAATGAGTCTGTAGATATCCTTCTTTGCTGAAGAGTGCTAAGTCTATGCAGTGTATTCTTTCTGATCAGACTGAGGTGTAATTATAAACACAGGATATGAGGCATAGCCCTACCTGCTGCAGCACAGACTCGCCTTGAAGTCTTTGCAGATTTTCCAGGTGGGAATGGAACAATGGGCTGTGCAGCAGCTTTACCTCCAGCAGCCCTTCGATGATGTATCCAATAGTGCAGTCATCAGGAAGACGTACTCTTTCTGCAGTACTGATGAAATTGCCCAGGCTGTGACAGAGAGCACAGGAGACAAGCCAAAATAGGTTTGAAAGCCTCCCAAACATGTATTGATGGAGCTCAACTAGGAACAATGCTTACCTGGCCCAAGGACTCATCTTCAGGGCAAGACCTCGGCTGATACAGAACCCAGCTCCACCTGTGGCAAACCAGAATTTCACAGTTGTCTTCTGAAGAGCAAAAAGGAAAAACACACACAGCAGTTACTGATAATCATCTTGTTGCATTTGGATGGGCAGGGAAGGGAACTCAAGGTTCTATTTGATAC